TTTAAGATGGACCCCAAATCTTAATAATAAGCTATTATTAAAAAATTTAAGAAAATGATAAAAACTCAGTTATTATTCAAAACTCACTTCACTGGATCATCAAACAAAGCTTTGGACATCATCGTTATTCATTTGGACATAAATTGATCACTGATCATGAACCGTACATTAAGATTGCACAACTTGAGAGAGAAAAGAACAGACAAATGAAAATTTTGATCCGGCATAAAAGCGGGTAGAAAGAGAAGCAGCAGAGATAAGCTCGACTAGTTATAGTGTTCCCTTAACCAATCTTGACGTCAATTGTCTTCGGCTTCTTGGGCTGCGGCGGTGGCAGCTTTTCAACAGTAACAGTCAGCACACCATCCCGCGAAACTGCAGAAATAGCATTAGTATTCGCATTTTCCGGCAGCACAAACTTCCTCATAAATTTACCCACTCTCCTCTCCATTCTCACATACTTCACTCCATCCTCTTTCTCCCTCCGCCTCTCGCCGCTCACCACCAACACATTGTCGTCCTCCAGCTGCACTTTGATCTCGCCGGCCTTGATTCCCGGCATGTCCACAATGAATACATAAGAATTCGGGTACTCTTTCACGTCCGCTGGTGTCGCCGCCATGGCCTTGGCGTCGCGGACGTAGGCTCTTGATGGGTTGTTCTGTGTCGATTTTTCGTGGTCTTCGCCGAAATCCAGCATGTCTTGGAGGGTTGAGAGTAGGGCAGAGTCCATACCGAAGTTCCTCAAATCCATTTCTGGGGAATAAATAAACGGTTTTGTTGAAGTCGAGGAATTGAAGGTTTGTATGAAAAAGCGTTTGATGAATTGATTCTGCGGAAAAAGGAGAAGGATGTTTTGGATTATATAGTGGTTTGTGGGACACAATGGAATGTTGCAGAGATTTCTAGTTTGGGATTAAAATATTATTATTTATTAGACTACATAATTCATAATTCTATCCTCTTCTGGAATAATCAAGACTAATTGAGACTTTATGAGTTAGCTCCTTTTCAACGAGTATGTTTCGAAATAACCTTATATTGTGCATCAGCATACGGACAAGCTAAAACATATGTATTGCAAATAGACGTGCGTCTTGGCACCAAGTGCAGCATAAGGATGCGTTTGAGTTGAGGGCGAAATATTTAATGGGTCATGTCTACACTCATTGGAAATTGACAGAAGGTAATCCGTCACGAGTGCAAAAAATAGTCCTGCTGCGAGACTTAGAGAGTCGGGCCGTGTCAGTTGAGCTTTGGCTCACGACAGTTTCAAGCTAAGCTTTTCACAAACGGGCCTAACAGGATAGGTTTGGCAAGATTAAACCTTTTGTTTTGTTCACCTGAGTTCTAGATACAATTCTTTCATAGGTTTATTTTCTTCCTTCTCATCTTACTTCTTGTTGGTGGCTTTATCTAAATTGACTATTGATCAGAACTATAAAACTTCGTTAAGGTTCCTTTGTGAAAACAGAGGATGCTGAAAAACTACAGTAATTGGGTTAGAATCCGGATGATGGTTCAAAAGTTGTTTAAAATATTCTTCACATCACTTTAACTAAAATCTTTCCGAAGCTAAATGCAGAGACAGGAAGAAAGAATTAATTTGTACACACGGGAATTTAAATTACAACGCATCAAAAATTTAATTCGTGGAAAACATATATGTATTTCTGAGAATCAGAGCTCATCATTTTCTTCTTCTTCTTCTACATAAACTAAAGGCTCTCTCTCCTTTTCCTTGACATATCCATATTTTCTAAGCACATATAACACTGCTCGGCTGATATTACCTATAAACACAATGCCCATAAGTGATAGCCAACCCAAAACAGAAACCTTAATTATATATCTGACAGTATCTGTAACAGGATCAGGAGTCATATTAATGAAGGTGATGAAATATGTTATAGTTTGGGCCGTTATAGCAATCCATATTGTCACCATTTGCGTCCACATCCACCGTCGTCTTCTTAAAGGTAAGCCGCTGACTTGCAACAAAATTATGCTCAATGATGCCAAGAAAGCAATGGTGTTGAAGATCATGTATTGGTTGTATGCAGGAGGAAGAGTATATGCCATTACGGATTGTCCAGCCTCGTGTGGTTTCTGTGCTTTGGTGCCATTGGGAATTCCCTCGTAATCTCCCTGCCAAACGCCGCCTGGTGGAGATAATCCAGCTTGAAAGGCTACTGTTGCAAGTAGGGATGCTACTATCATTAGCGCGTTTCTTTTCCTGCCCAACCAATCTGTGTGTTTGTGCTTTTCAGGCTGCTTTCTTGTAGTGTCATTTTCAGGAAGTTCTGCATCGGATGGAAGAAATGGTGTGTGCACGATTCTTGAAACGCTTCCATGCTGAAGACGTTGCTTGATTTCCAAGTCCCTGGTGTCTCCCGGGCTTTGCAACAAGACATCCAGTGCTGTCCAACCATTCGCATTTCGAGCCCCTATCTCTACTCTTGTATTGGCAATCACATAATTGATGACCTGTAAATTCTTATGAATTTCTGTAAACAAAGTATCTAAGCAAATGTTGCATTGTTCATTTACCAGTAGGAATTTATCATCAAATCAAATGTGCTGTGCACAGGTGAATGGAATGTAATGCTATGTTGAATGAATACCTCAATCTGTTTCTTGGCAACTGCTACATGTAAAATAGTATTGCCATTAGAATCCTTCCAATTCACAAACTGATCATCTTTCTTCATAAATTCCACCAAAACTTTCAGGGCTTCAAAGCGATTGTACTTAACGCAAAGATGCAAACAAGTCTCTCCACCGCCGGTCAACTCACGCGCCACCTCCGGCTTAGCCCGCAGAAGTTCGCCCAAAACAGCCACTCGGCCTTTAATTGCGGCCAGATGAAGCGGATTCCTCCCATCACGATCCAAAACAAAGCAAATATCAGGATTGATTAAAAGCAGATATTTCACTATACTCAGATTCCCCTTTGCTGATGCCAAGTGAAGAGCCGTTGAACCGTGTGAATTCAACGAATTTGCCATATCTAGGTTTCGATCGAGGAGTTCTTTGGTGAAATCAAGGTGCCCAAGAAGCACTGCTGTGTGCAAAGGATTATTGGGTATAGGAGAAAATTTTGAGGTGAGGATTTTGGGATTTTCTTGAATAAGTTGCAACAGGATTGGGATTTCTCCATTCATGGCAGCTTCATGAAGCTTTTTCTGCATCGTTTTTTCATTCTCAAGATCTTCTTCTTTCTCATTATCTATCAAGCTCCCAAATTTCATTTTTCTTGGTTCTTCTACCTGTTATCCTCACAGATCCGCCACAAAAAAGATGGGAGTATTTGTAAATTATTGAAGATTTAAATCCATAAAATGTTTGTCAATTAAGAATTTCCTTTCTACGAATAATAATAT